TTGTCCGGATGTATGTATGTGTGGATCGTTTTTGTGAACACGATATCTTTAACAGATTTCAATGGATTTGGGTAAAATTTGGTAGACTTATTTATCAGATTAATCTCTCAAAAATGACGAGAGGATTTTTAAAACTAGCTCCAAAAAAAAATTTCATCGTTTTTTTTCCAAAAAATTTTTTTTAATTGAAAAAATTTTAAAATACAAAAATTTAATTTTATATATATTATAATCGTCTTCTTTACGTCAAGACGAATCGATTAGTATATTTAAAGAATAGATTTGATTGAAATTTAAAGAATTAATGAAAGCTAAAAAATCAAAAATTTATATTTTAGCTAAAAAATGTTGTTTATTAAAATTCAAGTTTATATATGAAATAATTTTATTCCCTGCATGAAAACGAATCGATTGGTATATGGGGCATTCTATTTTAAAATTATACCCCTAGTAAACAATTGACAATATAAGACATTCTTTAAATAATTATTTCTCCCATTTAATTAAATCAAATTACTTTTGCAATGAGTGGTTTCGAAAGAGAAATTTCTAAACTTTACAATTGTAAAAAAATTTTTTCAAAAAAACATTTAAATAGTATAAAAAATTTAGTTTGAATGTTAAACTTGTAAATATCTCAAAACACGTTGTCTCCGATTTTGACAAAATCTATGTCAAAAAAAAGCTTAAATATTCTATTTTTTATTTCCGTAAAGTTTATAATGGACATTTTCGAGAATTTCCAGAAATTAATTAAAATTCTCAGACGTTTCGGAGGTTAAAAAGGATTGAAATTTGTATGAATGGAGAACCATTTCTTTAAGAGCGGATTTTGTTTTTTAAATTTAATTTCCATTAACCTTACATTATTACATCACTTGACCCACTTGACATTAGAGAAAAAAAATATTGTAAACAATAAATATATTGATCTTTAGCTATTTGCAATTAAAAATTTTTCAAATTTAAAAAAATTATTCAGATTAAAATTGAAGTTTTAAAATTTATTTATTTAAAAATTTCGTAAAAACAAATGCCGCTGTATTTGAACAGAGGTTCTCTATTCATGCAAATTTCAACCCTTTTTAACCTTTGAAACGTCTGAGAATTTTAATTAATTTCTCGAAATCCTCGAAAATGTCAATTATAAACTTTACGGAAATAAAAAATAGAATATTTAAGCTTTCTTTTGACACAGATTTTGTCAAAATCGGAGACAACGTGTTTTGAGATATTTATAAGTTTAACCTTCAAACTAAATTTTTTATGCTAATTAAACGTTTTTTTAAAAAAATTTTTTTACAATAATAAAGTTTAGAAATTTCTCTTTCGAAACCACTCATTGCAAAAGTAATTTGATTTAATTAAATGGGAGAAATAATTATTTAAAAAATGTCTTATATTGTCAATTGTTTACTAGGGGTATAATTTTAAAATAGAATGCCCCATATATAAAGTACAGATTTGATTTACATTTTAAGAATTAATAAAAATTGAAAAATCAAAAATTCATAGGGTAAAAGGTACAGTGACCGACACCCAGACAGTGAACGACACCTGCTATTAAAAACGATAATAACTATAAAAATAATAATATTTAATTAAATATCACTAGTAAATTAATTAATATACAATATTTAAAAACTTATACAGTTTATACAAAATTTTATATGTTTATATTTTCCTCAATATTTAATACTTTCTAGAAAACTAACCTCAAAAAATTTGCTTTATTGATTACAAATTTTATAAATATGAAAAAATTGTTAAATAATTATATTTTAAAAGCAACTTTTTTTGTACATTAAGTCTGAATAATAAAATTTATGATAATACTAATAAATATCATGTTACTTAAATAGAAGTTTAAATATTTTTTATTTTATTAAAGGGTGTCGTTCACTGTTTTCATACCATACATTTTTAAATTAATATTATAAACTCTTATCAAGGTGTTTTTTAATTTTAAACTTGTGTACTATAAATTTTAACCCAAATCTTTTATTTAAAATTTATTTTATAACTAAATCTTTAATAAATTACGATAAAATGTCATTTAAAGTTGAAAGTATGCCCAGGGTGTCGGTCACTGTACCCCTTACCCTATTTAAGCTAAAAAATTTTGTGTTTTTTTAACCCCTTGACAGTCCAGGGCCCATATGTGGCCAGAAAAAGTCGTGCCACCTTTGTGCAAGTGGCCATATATGGCCATCGCAAAAAATAATACTAAATTTAATTTGATTTGCCTGAAATTTGTTACTCGGGGGTTTTTGGGGTCGCTGAATCCAAATTTGAAGTCAGATTTCAAAAAAACAAAATGGCGGACCCAAAATGGCGACCATGAAAACATAAAATTTATCAGATTTACATGAAACTCGTTGCTCAGGGGTTTTCGGGGTCTCTGATTACGAATCTGAGGTCGGTTTTTCAAAATTCAAAATGGCGGATCCAATATGGCGGATAATTTAAAAATTAATGCGTTTTGACCACAAATTGTTACTCGGGGGTTTTCGTAGTCGCTGAATTCGAATTTGAGGTCAGTTTTCCAAAATTCAAAAAGGCGGATCCAATATGGCGGACAAATTTTTAAAAAATCAATCCGATTTGTCTGAAATTTGTTACTCGGGGGTTTTTGGGATCGCTGAATTCGAATTTGAGGTCGGTTTTTTGAAATTCAAAATAGCGGATCCAATATGGCGGACAAATTAAAAAAAATTTTTTTTTTAAATTTGTCCGCCATATTGGATCCGCCATTTTGAATTTTGAAAAACTGACCTCAAATTCGAATTCAGCGACCACAAAAACCTTAAATATGATGAAGTCATATTTTTTTGGAAACTTTTTTTTCGGACCGTTTTAGGCCCACCAGCGATTTTTAACTGGACTGCGAAGGGGTTAAATTCAAGTTAATACATAAAATAATTGAATTCCTTGCATTAAAACGAATCGATTCGTATATATAAAGTATATGTTACACCCAAAATGATTTAAAATTTTCTTAATTTTTCAAAAAATGTAATTAATTTAAATCAGTTTTTAACTCGAAATGTTTTAAATCAATTAATTGAATTAGAGAAATTCATAGCTTCCTCCACGAGGAAGCAAATTTTTTGCTTAACACAATGAGGAAACAAAATGTTTATGAAATGAACATAAAGGACCTCCTCCTTGTTTTAGGATGCATCTTTTAATCTATTAGCGAATATTCTACTATTATTTTATTCAGAGTTATTAACTTTGCAAAATTGAAAATTTTTGAAAAACCCGGCTTTTTTGCATTATTTGTTTATTTCTTTATATAACTTTAAAATTTTAATAATCAACTTAAAGAAAAATTAAAAACAAATCATTTGACCTATTATTGTACCTTTTATTATAAAATATTACTTAGTTATTCATGTTAAAAGTCTATCTCTGAAAACGCTGAGAAACTACAACTTAACACCTTCTTAAAATCATTATAATATTAAATAAGTTACCATAAACTGGTAAAAAAATCTCTGTGACGAGGCAAAGTGTTTGTGAATTGACACAAAAAATTCATACTTCAACTTAGCAGCAGTTTTGTGAACTTAAATCAATTAAAATTCGTATACAATTTGAAATTTAAAACAATTAATCTTTAGATATATTTAAATTTCGTTAGTTTTAAGTTTTGATCGATTGAATTCGCATGTGATTAAAATTTTAATTACTTAATAAATTTGTTTTGACCAATATAAAAATTAGAATTTATTGACAGTAGACAGTTAAAATTTAAATTAACATCCAGATTTAATTGAAATTTAAATGAATTAAAATTAGAATCGAATAAAATTTAATTAAATTGAAATTTGGATGAACTAAAATTTGAACAGATTACAATTTGAGTTTAAATTTAGATTTATTGGAGATTAGACTAAGTAATTTTTAAATCGACGACAACTATTGATAAATTCAAGCTTGGATCAATTGAATCATTTATATAAACGATGAAAATCTGTAATTTTGTATTCTCTATATTAATATACGTTCAGGAATGTTAACAAAATTACTTTTTAACATTTCTGAACATATATCAATCATTTTACATTGTAAATTTAATTATTTTTTAAATATTACATCCGCAAATTAATCAAATCAAGAAAAAGGTGAAAAAGGTATATAATTGATTTTTTATGTAAATTTATTTAATGCCCCAAATTTCAATGATAAAAAAACTTTTTCCTGTCTTGTGGCTACCCTGGAAAAAACATGTTTTAATTTTCTGCTATTAAAAATTTTCATTGTTAATAACTTTTAGAAATAATTATTTTATGTTCTAAAAATTTCATAACCTACTTCACATCATAAAAGGATAAAAACGTTTTTATTCGTAAAAACATACAAGTCATTTATGAGCACGAAATTAATAATTATTGTGAAAAAGTAAACTAAAATTTTTGAATGAGAGCAAAAATAAACAATTTTCAGCTTTGATTCAAAAGTAAATATTGATTTTCACCACCAATCTAACTTTTTAACATACTCATTTTAAAGAAAAAAATGTAAATAGTGACTATTAAACAGGACGGCAATATATTGATTCCTATAACCTGACGTAAAAAAAATTCGATTTTTGACAATCTCTTGTTTCAATGGAACTTATGACCTTCCTGACAAAAATAAAAATTTCGATTCCCGTCGAATCTATTCTAAGAACGAAATAAAGAAAGACCCATTTTCAAAGTTATAAATTTACTCAACTGACAATTGTAAGAAAATCATTTTAAAATAAGTTTTGTTTTTCACAAATTTTTGTAATTTCATTATATTGCACGTAATAAAATTAGAATTACAACTAATACAATAGTGATATTTTATATAGAGTTTTAGTTAAGTGTAGGATAATATTTTTGTCTGAAAAAAAACAAAATGCCATATTATCGCCATATTGTTATGCACAAGTTATTACTAGTGTACATACATTCACGGAGTATAATTTTCAACACTATTAAATTTCCCAAACTTTGGCTACTTACCAAGAGACATGTTTACTTTTGCGTCAATGTCGGACATTGCTCTGTATTACGTTAAATTTTTTTTATTTAATATCAGATATTACTGGAGACAAATTTCAGAACTCCAAAACATAAAAGCACATCTATAAACAGAACATAGTTCTGGTATTTCTACAAGACAAGACTGAATTTGAGATGGTCAAATCGAAATTGAATACTAGCTCTCGATTAATCGAATAATAACAATCGATTTTAGGGTACGGTCGCAGCCACTGAACTCTATATCTGGAATGCTGTCTGCAGGAGGTTCTACAATAGGTACAAAAGGCAAGTGAAAGTTCAAGAAAACCATGAGTGCAAGAAAGATAGATAATCTAGCAATCTCTCTTGCACTTGTAGTTTTTTTAGACTTGCACTTGCCTTCTGCACTTATTGTAGAACCACCTTGCCATTGAAAGTCGCGAGCTGAGAGAGAGGTCTGATTCCTGTATCACTCTCCTTCTCATGTTAAATTGCGCAGGCTTGGTACAATACGTTCCAAAAGTTTATTGTTAACTGTGTTATGTCATATTCACGTATATATTTTCTAATTGACCTGTACCGACAAAAAAGGGAATACAGTTATTAGACCTCTCTCTCGGCTCGCGACATTCAATGGCGGACAGCATTCCAGATATATAGGCCTTTCTCCAATATGTTCCTAAATGTTTGCGTTGCGTGACTAACGCGTTGGTTCGCAAGCGCAGTGACGTCATCAAAGCATTGATACCAATCGCGAACAAAAAGTTTGGTTTATGTTCCTCTTATACCTGTTTCCCAACTTTACAATTTTTGATGTAAATTTTTCTCGACGGCTTTTAATAATTTTAATTATTTAATATTTATAATTAAAAAATTCAGGGTCTTAAAATCATAAACCAAACTTTTTGTTCGCGATTGGTATCAATGCTTTGATGACGTCACGGCGCTTGCGAACCAACGCGTCAGTCGCGCAAGGCAAACATTTAGGAACATAAAGGCCTTTCTCCAATGGAACCTAAACTTTTGCGTTGCGTGACTGACGCGTTGATTTTAGCATTGGTTGCCAATAGCAACCGACGCAATGCATACGCAACGCAAGAGTTTAGGATCCTATTGGAGAAAGGCCTTAAAGTTGTTTCTACAATAAGCGCGTCGGACGTGAACGCGATCGTTTACGTAATGAGAAAGAGGGGTACGAAGATATACATCTATACCCCTCTCTCGTTAGGTATACGTTCGCATAAGCGTCCGACGCGCTTATTGCAGAACCAACTTGATGCTGATTCTACACTCACCGAAAACTGAGCGAGCGGTCCGCTTTTCCGTCACGCTTCCCATATTCAACTATATATATATATATATATATATATATATATAAAAAATCGGACAAGTGCGAGTTACACTCGCACTGAAATCGAGGGTTCCGTACTCGAAGCGAACTTATTTGGTATAAAAACAAATGTTTAAAAAATATGTGTTGTATGACAACTAATATAAGTGATACGAAGAGGAACAATTTTCTTGAATTTTACAAAATTGTTCCTTTTTGTATCACTTATATTAGTTGTCATACAACACATATTTTTTAAACATTTGTTTTTATACCAAATAAGTTCGCTTCGAGTACGGAACCCTCGATTTCAGTGCGAGTGTAACTCGCACTTGTCCGATTTTATTTTTTAAAAAATATTTTACTAAAAAAATATAAGAAACATAATTTTATTTCAACTCGCAATATTTTTATTGTATTTACATTTTAAAAATATATTGAATATTAAATTTTATCTTTCTAAGTCAAAAAGAGATAAAACTTAAGATATTGATATAAGGCTAGTAGCTGCTTGTCAAGGAAAAATCGAAAGTTATCTAAAAAATAAAATTTGTTTATTAATTCCAGAAAAATCAACTCCAATCATCTTCGCTATATTTTTTTTGTAATCTACACGTAAAAATACGTCAAAATATATAAATTTGAATCACTGTAGAAAAACTTTTTTCGTTTTTTGCGGAAAAATACATTTTTTTCTGAAATTTATCATTTTTCTTCAAAAATTTGATAAAAATTGATCATCAACTCCAATCGCGCTTACATTTTTTCCCTGTATTTTTCACGCAAAAATTGAGTTTTACAGCAAGTATGAACAGTCTGGATTGAATATTGTGTGCGCTAGGGAGAATAAATCATTTTTTTCGAAATTTTTGATTTTTCCTTGACAACGCTATGTAAATTGATCCGAATCAAGTTCGCTATAATTTTCCTGTAATTTTCACGTAAAAATACGTAAGTGTGTCAAATTTGAGCTCTTTATGTCAAAAGATGTGGCCGCTAGGGGGGGGGGGGGAACATAGTCATTTTTAGGCATTTTTCGTAAAAATTCATGGTTTTTCCTTGACAACGCTATGTTAATCAATTCCAATCAAGTTCGCTATAATTTTCCTGTAATCTACACGCGAAAATACATATGTGTACTAATTTTCAGCCCTCCAGATAAATTTATGTGGCCGCTAGGGGGGGGGGTACACGATTTCAAAAAAACCGATATTAATAGGGTTCCGAACCGAGTACGGAACCCTAAAAACGTAACGCAAATGCGGACCGCTCGCGCAGTTTTAGGTGAGTGTAGAATCAGCATTAGGGTCCCATTGGAGACGCACCATAAAGGCCTGAGCAGAATAGAAACGTAACCGTAATATCAATCGCAATCGTAAACGAAAGAATGTGTTAAGGCCAAAGCAGAATAGCTTCGCGAACGTGAAACATGAGTTAAAAAAGGATAGAGATATATTTACATCCTTTTCTATCTCATGCATCTCGTTCGCGAACCTATTCTGCTTTGCCATTTCTATTGTGCTTAGGCCTTAATATATGAAGAGCTCCACGGAATAACGATCTATGGCACAATTGAAAAGCTTGGTTATGAGCTTTCAAAAAATATAAAAATTTTATAAATTAATAGCTGTAAGCGAATTATTGTAACTTATAGAATTAATAATAGTTACCAAAAGTGTAATAAATAACAATTTACATATACATACTTATTACAAATTTCATGAAAATTTACGTTTTTTGAAAGCTCATAACCAAACTTTCAATTTTGCCATAGATCGTTATTCCGTGGAGCTCTTCATATATTCCTACAGTTGTACACCTCACAATCACAAATTCTAAGTATACTTGGAATTTGTCAAAAGTTATACTAATTTTGACTTCTAGATTAAAACCACATGAGTTTATTGAAATGTTCGGAGATACATCGACCATTAGGGACAGAAGCGAGATAAGATCTGTCTCACAATCGCTGCGTTTACCTTGCGTCGAGCCCATTGTGGAACCAGCCTTAAGGCTGATTCCAGAATGGAGCCAAACGCAGACGCATCCCCATTTGCTTAGCATTGCGTTGCGTCGCGTACACGTTGCGTTTGGCTCCTGCTGATTCTACACTCACCTAAAACTGCGCGAGCGGTCCGCATTTGCATTACGTTTTTTATATATATAGATATAGTTGAATATGGGAAGCGTGACGGAAAAGCGGACCGCTCGCTCAGTTTCAGGTGAGTGTAGAATCAGCATCCATTCTGGAATCGGCCTAAGGCTTTTCTCCAATATGTTTCTAAATATTTGCGTTGCGTGACTAACGCGTTGGTTCGCAAGCGCAGTGACGTCATCAAAGCATTGACACCAATCGCGAACAAAAAGTTTGGTTTATGTTCCTCTTATACCTGTTTCCCAACTTTACAATTTTTAATGTAAATTTTTCTCGACGGCTTTTAATAATTTTAATTATTTAATATTTATAATTAAAAAATACAGGGTCTTAAAATCATAAACCAAACTTTTTGTTCGCGATTGGTATCAATGCTTTGATGACGTCACAGCGCTTGCGAACCACACGTCAGTCACGCAACACAAACATTTAGAACATATTGGAGAAAGGCCTTTATGACAAAAGACGTTCGCGAACGTGAAACATGAGTTAGAAAAGGACAGAAATATATTCGTATCGTTTTCTATCTCATGCATCTCGTTTGCGAAGCTATTGTGCCATATTCATGAAGTAGTATAAGGAGCACCCACTCTATAGGCCGTTTTTGAAAATTCTTCCCCAGCCTTTCCAGATTTAATAGAAGCATTTACATATCCCCGATACTAACAACCCTAGCGGAAAAGCGAGGAATTACAGGTCACGTGGTACATTGTTATATAAGTGTTTGTATATAACTGTCAGTTAGCGTTTTTTTTTAAATGTGTTTGAAACGAGTTAATTTTGTGTAATTATAAATAAAAAAGTGAAAAATGGGGATGCTAAATTGATCAATGAATCAGCATTAACCCAGGCAACTTTACTTGATACAAATTATTTTGTATGTATTTGAATGTTAACAAATACATACTTGCTGAACTTGTCATTATATTTTGTTTGTTTACATGTAAATATAACCCAAAAATAAAAAAAAATTAAGAAATTTCGTTTCAAACTTATACGGCTACAATGAAACAAAATTAATTATATATTTTTATTATTTTTATATAACTTACGCCAACATATTGCAATTCCTTTATTATTTCATTATGAAACATGATTGAAAACAAACATTTTAAAAATCTAAATTATATATTCGTGTAAATAAGCAAAAACTTACCAATTTTCAAATATATTTTCAAAAAATTTATGTTTTATTTAAAATTTTTGTGTGTAACTTTTTTCTTTCTTTTCAAGTTAAGTCAAATAGTTTTTTTTCTTTCTTTACACTTTTTCTAAAATTATTATATATCACTTTACAACGTTTACTATTGAGAACAGCTGTCACTGGGCACAGCCATATTTTGAAAACTTCTAAGTACACCGCTTTTCCGCTAGAGGCGTCATAATCGGAGATATGTAATTTCGGATTTATTCTCATGCAGGGGACCTTTATGCTTAACAAGTAGTGAGTGCTCCCCTTATACTACTTCAAGGAGCTTCTACAATAGCTCCGTTTGGCAACTCCAAGTCCAAGTCGGTTGGAGTTGGTTGCGCACGCATGGTGTTGCCAACCGTCGCCGAGCTGAAAACGAAATAAAAAATTGTGCGTGATCTCGTGCTAGTGTTCTAAAGACAGTAAATTACGTCAAGAAGAGAAAGAAGATTACGGTAAATTACCGGATCGTTTTTTCTCTGAGAATTTATGAGAATTTTTACTTGTACTTTTATCCTTGTCTGACACGTGCGTTGTCATGACAACGTGTATGACGAGGATAAAAGTACAGACATATGTTCCTGACTGTACAATTATTATTATAATGAAAAATATCTTTGTTACAATATTAAATATATATATTAATATATTAATATTGATATAATATATTACATTATTATATTGAATCAGGTACATTTATATGCCTGCACTTTTATCCTTGTTTAACACACATGTTGCCATGACGACGCACGTGTTAGACAATGATAAAAGTGCAGGCATATATACCCGACTGTCATCTTGTCAGTAAGAACACAGAGAAAATTAGGGTGCAGTCCCATGGAGCAGATTAGCAGATTAGACGTTGACCAATAAAAAAACAGTCTCTAACGGAAATGCAAAATTTGCCGCGAGAGACTAACTTTTGATTGGCTGAAATCTATTCTGCTAATCTGCTCCATGGGACTGCACCCTTACAGTCTATTATATTCATTGTTCAAATTATTCATTTAATAACATGTCGGTCGTTTATTTATAACTTACATACTATAAAAATACATATTTAAATTTAAAAAAGGCAATTATCAATTACTTAAATGAATATTCTCATATATTCTCTTTTTTTCGGTAATTTACCGCAATTCTCTTTCTTACCTTCTCAGGTTTTAATTTTACCGAGAATTTTAAAACACTATCTCGTGCTCACGAAATAGTTGAGGTTATGTACCTTTAAAGCTGTAAACACGCTGTAAAGTTTAATAAATTATTTGTTGTTGTTGCTTTTGATGTTGCCACCTTCTCATCGTTTTTTAAAGAGAAGAAAAATATAAATTAAATTAAATTTTTCGTTTATAAATAACAAAATTTTTTTCCCCGAATAATACACACATGCAATGAATTTAATATTTGTAATATATAAATATAGTAATAAAAAAGTATACAATTAATAAGATGAACTGTCAATACAAATTTTTTTTTTATATTTTTTATTGACATTATAATAAAAGTTTTTCATCATTTTGATTTCACAATATATTAAAAAGGTATTTTCATGAACATAACCTTACAATATTTTTACATTTCATCACATGAGAAGGGCGTAATCATAAAATGGTATTAAATTTAAAAATATTTGAAAAATAATGGAAAACGTGCGTTGACATATTTATTATATTTTTAATTAAATACGATTTTTAAAAATAACTTAACTTAAGATTACATTATTCTCATTAACAGATTATTTTACTATACTATTTTAATGTTATTTTCAGAATTAAATTCAGATTAGAGTATTTAGATTATAGTGTTTAAAATGTTTGTAGAGTCTTAAATGTTTTTTTTTCTTCTAATAAGAAATCTGTTTGTCAGGGAAAAAGTTATTATTTACATGGAAAAATGGAGAATTTAGGAAATTGGATTACAAAAATATTATGGCAACGCATGAAGAAATTAACTTTTTAAAGAATTATCACATATAGTATAATTATATTCAATGAATTTTAGACGAAAAAATTCATTCATAAAATATTAAACTTTGAAAATTATCTGCATTCTCTAATATTAAAATAAGCAAAAAATATTGTAAGGTTATATTCATGACAATACCTTTTTAATATATTGTGAAATCAAAATGATGAAAAACTTTTATTATAATGTCAATAAAAAACATAAAAAAAATTTTGTATTGACAGTTCATCTCATTTATTGTATATTTCTTTATTACTATATTTATATATTACAAATATTAAATTCATTGCATGTGTGTATTATTCGGGGAAAAAAATTTTGTTGTTTATAAAAGAAAAATTTAATTTAATTTATATTTTTCTTCTCTTTAAAAAACGATGAGACGGCGGCAACATCAACAGCAACAACAACAAATAATTTATTAAACTTTACAGCGTGTTTACAGCTTTAAAGGTACATAACCTCAACTATGTATTTCGTGAGCACGAGATCACGCACAATTTTTTTTTTCATTTTCAACTCGGCGACAGTTGGCAACACCATGCGTGCTCAACCAACTCCAACCGACTTGGACTTGGAGTTGCCAAACGGAGCTATTGTAGAAGCTCCTTCATGGCCATATTGTGCGTCGGCCATGTGGTGGCGGCATGTGTAATACAAATATAACCTTTAAATAGTGAGTTTCAAAAGTAATGTACTTATTTTATCGCCACACAAAACCGTATTAAATGATGTTCACATTTAGTTTTAAGTTCAAATGGCAAAAATGTATGAGTATGATAATAAAGCTAAATATTCATACACAAAGAAAAATGAAATATAATTATTTTACATCGGAAAATGTTGTGGTCTACCGTAGACTTATTGAAGAATTTCAAAACAATCAATTTTCATTTGAAACTTTACTCCAGTACAATATACTATTAAAAACTCCTGTAAATATATTGCAAGACAATTGTGCATTATGTAAAGTAAGTTAAATATTATAAGTATAATTTATATTCATAATTATGATAGGATACAATAATCAATATTCAATAATATAATAATCGATTTGATTTGTGTCTCCCTTTCTCTAACTGTGACCGGACCATTATAAATATAAAATTATTAAACAGACATTATTAGAAATGTTTACACTTGAAACTATATATTAGAAATTGAGTTTTTTCGATTATTGGAAGTGCGAAATGAAACACCAAATCACTTGCTTTTACACTATCATCTGGCCACTTTATTAAACAAAATTAAAATAAATTAATCACTCACAAACTACATAGAACTTGTTATAAAAAATAAAAAAATATTAAAAATTCTTATTTTTATATAAATAAATAACTACCTAGTTGAATTAAATTTAATTAGTTACATTAGTAACACGTCTAATTATTTGTCAGAAATAAAAACAAATTTTGAAGGCAAGGTATCACCCATCGTAAAGCAAATTAAAAACTAAATTTTCTTTGTCATCCAATTCTACTAAAGAGAAATACTATTTTTAATTTATTTGATAGCTATATTGTTATCTCATGACTCTTTTCACAGTGACAATGTTAATAAAGTTACACAGATTCATCTTCAGAACGAGTTATCCTTTGGAATTTATTAACAAAAATCTAAAAATAAGATCATATAAGTTTAAATCTACAACATCTAAAACTAAACAAATAATTAATAAATCATGGATTTATAATAGTATACCAAAAGTTTGCATCCCTTTTAATAACAATTATATGCAACTTTCAAACATCTTGAAAGATTATAATTTATTGTCAATTCCAAAGGTTAACAAAAACCTAAGTTCTGTTGTTAAATTAGGCAAAGACCAAACAAAAAAATGGAACCAAACTACCATTGTTTATAAATTTATTTGCAACAATGTGTGAGTTTCCAAGAGGGTAAGAAAATGGACCCTCTTTGAAAGCGACAAAAGTACTCTATAATGTACAAGTACACAAAATTGTGATGTTATATTTTTTGTGCAAATTTACATTTTTTAAAATTAAATAAACGCACTCAAAATAGTAAGTTTAAAAAACACAGTAGTTTTTCAACTTTGAAAATGAAACAAATACAATTTTTCTCACTTTTGCATATAAAAGTAAATATACCTCATTTGTGACTTTAAAAGTAGTAGTTATGATAATACTTAGGTGTTGTGAATTACTTTTCGTTTTTTAATAAAATTATAAATATAATATATATATGTGACCTGATATGAAACGCAATTTAACCTAAAATTTTTTGCTCAATATATTCCTTTTTATTCGTATCTCGTCACACATATTAATATATTATTATATATTGTAACTCAAATAATAATAATTTGTTTCAAATAAATGTTTATATAATTTGATTATTTGTATCATATATTTTTCATTGCAATGAAGAAAAGTAATAATTTTGAAATATAAAAATAAATTTCAATTAAAATGTTTTTAATACGATTGCACACAAAAAATAGCATTGGTAAAAATGACTGAAAATGTGTAGTTAAAAAAAGCAGTTAAAAGTACCATATTCAGAACCATTTAAACTAAACTCAGACAGTTGGTAGTACTAAATTTTAGTAGTCAATTTCACCTAGTTAAAATTACTAATATTTGTAGTTGAAATAACTGTCATATGATTTTAAATGGCTTTACAACATTTTAATAGTTAAAACTACTGTTAGAAATTGTTATTTTTAGGATTTGTGTAGATGAAAGAAACATTTCTTATTAGTTGTACAAAAAATTTGATTTACTCTTTTCATGTAGTTAAAATAAGTGTTGAAAAAAGTTATGTTTATGATTTATGAAGTTGAAGAAACAATTTCTTCCTAGATACAGTAAAACCATTTGACTTACTGTTTTATGTAATTAAAATAAGTATTAAAAATAGTTATTTTTATAATTTGTGTAGTTGAAAGAATGTCCTTAAATATCATGCGAGCCATCTTAGCGTGCGTGCGTGGTTAGATGGTTAAGTTGTCGGCTTGGGAATACCCAGCGTTTAGGAATTTTTCTCTGTTAGGTATACAATAATTAAATATTATAAGGCATATATATACGAAAGTAGTAGGGGAGAGGATGAAAAAATGTATCTCAATACTAATATTAATAATAATAATTTTACTACTTTGAATAGTTTTTTTTTACTAAATTTTACAATTGATTTAACCGTTTTTACATAGTTGTCTCAACTACTTTTTGTTAATAGGCGCCTCCTGGAACTAGAAGAATTAGTTAAAATTTTTAGTCAAATTTACCATGAACTTTTTGAGTGCATAATCTTTTAAATTACCGTGTGGTGTACTTTTACACTACGAGATGTAAATTTACAAATTTTAAAAGTAAAATTTCCCATTCTAGATGCTGTTATACTGTTTTATGTACTTATGCCACTTTCACAGTAGGTAAGTTTTAAACGTACGTAGAAAGTGGTAATGTTACAAGAAAAATTTTTTACAGTGTAGTATATATACTATCGGTTCAAAATGTAAAGACCCCTGTCTTTGAATTCTTATAACTCAGGTAAAAAAAATCGCATTACATTGAGACAACTAGGAATCAGCAGCTACTCTATTCCTACGTTACTATACGAAATTGCAAAAAGCAGAAAATTTTGTTGCATCACTTATGGATTTTAGAGAATAAAAAATACATGGTTTTTCACACCATTTTGACAACGGTCTACTTTGAAAGCTTTTAACTTATTCAATAAAAATCCTATCAGTATGAGAAATTTTTTCTATAATATTTGAACCCTTCTGAAACATAATATTAAAAAAAATTTCGCTTATTCCATTAACTTTTCGAGATTATTTAAAACAAAGTTAAAAAGTTATCTTTTTGACGAATAAACGCACAGATTGGAAACAAATTGCAAATTGTGTAATAAAAGATTCTTTTAACGAAACAAAAATCAAAAATTGTTTAAAAAATTTTTCCAAAGAATTATTCATAAAATTGTTATTCGTTTTTTGCTTTATTACTCCCATTAAAGCAAGATGCTGACCGTGATATACCCTTTTGTTTCGTAAAGAGAATCTTTTATTACACAATTTGCAATTTGTTTCAAATCTGCGTTTATTCGTCAAAAAGATAAATTTTTAACTTTGTTTCTAATAATTTCGAAAAGTTAATGGAATAACCTAACTTTTTTTAAAATTATGTTTCAGAAGGGTTCAAATATTATAGAAAAAATTTCGCATACTGATAGGATTTTTATTGAATAAGTAAATTCGGATGAAGATAGAGAGAGTGTAATTAGCGAAATAAATAATGACGAAAATTTGGATCCATTTGGTTTATAGTATTACATTTAAGCTAGCATTAGTATTAATATTATTTTATTTTCGTAAATATTATCATTACTAATATTGAATAAATTATAATAATTAAGTTTAATGTAATAAAATTTTTAATATAGTATAAAAAGTAAAATTTGTTCTTTTACTCCCAAAAACAGTTTTAAATAATTCTTTTTCGATAGAATTTTCATCAAATAGTTGGATATGAATGGAAACAATTTTCAATGACAGAATTTAATAGAATTTTCATCAAATAGTTGAATATAAAAGGAAAAAATTTTCAATGATAGAATTTGATAAAATTTTCATCAAATAGTTGGATATGCATGGAAACAATTTTTAATGATAGAATTTGATAGAATTTTCATCAAATAGTTGGATATGAATGGAAACAATTTTTAATGATAGAGTTTGATAAAATTTTCATCAAATAGTTGGATAAGAATGGAAACAATTTTTAATGATAGAGTTTGATAAAATTTTCATCAAATAGTTGGATAAGAATGGAAAAAATTTTTAATAAATCATTTTGATAGAATTTGATAGAATTTTTTTACATATTAGTGGGACAACAAGGGACAATTTTTGGATTCACGAAGTATTGATCTAGATAGGTTTTGTATCAAACTTATTTGATAGAAACTTATAGAAACTCTTGAAAATTTCGGATTCAGAAACAGGATTGAAGTGGAAAGAATTTTTTTTCTTTTCATTTCTATCAAATTTTTTAAGCAGGGAATAGGGTAGCTGCTGATTCCTAGTTGTTTCAATGTAATGCGATTTTTTTACTTGAGTTATAAGCTTTCAAAGACAGAGGTCTATACTTTTTGGACCTTTAGTAGTGTGAATTGTCACCTTCTTATTTCAGTTTTTAATTTACTTTACGATGGGACATGGGTGATACCATGGAATAGTATAAGGAGACCGAACGACGCATATTGAAAGTGGACCAAATTTTGGTAACCGCTAAGTTTCAGGAAAATATGTAATGGAACAATAGCGCTGCTCGCAGGAAAAATTGGAAGTTACGTGACACTTTTCCATCGTCTGCTACACTGTTGTCAAACATGTCAAATGCTATATTGCAATTGCATATGAATGTTGACATACAGTTTAATAAAATAAAATATTTGTTAGTTTATATAACTATATTGTTTTATAAACAATAAATAAAGTTAAGTATGTGTAAAGTGATAAAATATGGTATAAATATTGAGAGTAAGTAATATGTTGTATATAATATCAGTAAGTTATGTGAATTTATATATAATAATTCTAAATAATAAATTGTCAAAAGAGATAAATAATTATTTTTATAATATATAAAAGGTAATTGTAAAGTTTTATTTTTTAAATAAAATAATATAGTTTTTAAAATAATTTCTTAGTTGATTATATTAAACGTATATATAAATGTTTTGTTATAGATGAATACCATGTTTAAACACCTGTATAAAGAAATGGATAAGTTAAAAGAGTTATTTAATTATGATAACTTACAAGTTAAGATGCAGAACACACCGTGCCCGAACCAAAAAAAAAGTTTGACTAAAATGAATCCAAAATCGGGTTTTTGGGGATCATTCTACATCATATCAGAAGTAAAAATCCGTTGAGATCAAAATCCTAGCTGCTCCTTTTTTCGAGATATCGGTATTTTCGTTTATTTAATTTTGC